TTAAGTAATCCAAAGTATTCAGAATACGTTACTCTCATTGAGTAACGTAACGGAATACGTTACAGAATACATTTTGGGGCATGTATTCTGTAATGGAATACATTTTAAAAGTAACCTTCCCAACACTGACTATAGTAAGGTAAAGACCCTGCATGTAATAGAGAGACAGCTCTTGGTGGCAGTGACATATTAGGGGGTTTTGGGGGCATTTTACCATTCCTCTGTTGCAGCTCAGACAGGAAACTAGTAAAAACAGAACTGATTTTCTGAACAGAAGTCTCTGCCTTTAAAATATGCTCAGATGATTTCTTTTATTTATAAGATCATATGTATAAGCCAATCCTCTTTGTTTATAGCTTCTCTGCACTAGAGGCTGTGGCCATCCCAGCCAAGCAAACACTTCTGTAAAAAGTGATATTTCTAAAAATTCCAGTGTTGCCTGTAAAAATGACAAAATCCACTGAAATTGGAAACAATTGCAGCACCTGAAGGAAACAGCTGGTGAAAGTTTCCAGCCATTGGTTCATACCCAAAGCTGCTTAACTTCCTGTCATGAGGCAACAGAGTCCTTTTAAATCAGTTTAAATGAACTTAAATGCCACAAAACTCAGTTATTACTCACATTTTATATATGGTAGTTTCTTTGTGCCTTCCTCTCAGGTGCTTTTCTTCTTCTTCTTCTGTACCTCTTCTTGTTTTTTGTTCTCTCTTGTTATGTTTGTCCAAACAAGTGTTCAAAGCTGAGGGATGCTTCCCTGAGCTGAAAATTTCCAGTGATTCGACTTGTCAGGAGTGAGGAGATGTGAAGGAGGAACAGTCCAATAAAAGCTCTGCTCTCGGAGTTAATAAAGAGGTGCCGGGCCACATCACACCCTCGCAAAATATTCTGATGAACCCGTGAATGTCAGAAGGAGACCCCTAAAGTGCCCCATTGTTAGTTTTAGAGGGGTTTTTATTTGGTTTTGGATGATGAAAACAAGAGGGGTGAAAGGAGTCTAGTTTTTGGTCTTTGCTCAAATTGAAGCTGAAGGTGGAAAATTTAACAGTTGTTTTTTTTGAAAGCCTAAGTTAGGATAACACTTATATTTTAGACTCTATATGTGAGAGATAAAATATTAAGTGTTAAAGTAAAATAATTGTGACTGTCTATAATTTGAAAGCTGTACACATGGAGCAAACTGAGCTAACTGTGCAACAGAGATCCACTGGCTAAAACTCCACTGCAATTTGAAATTCACATTGACGTAACACATCACACCCGCCCTCTAAAATGCTGTAGATCTTAGAAGTAATGAGGCAGATGTGCTAATTCCCAGAAACCTCGCATCCTCTTCATCCAGTTTGGTCCTCTAACCCCACCCCCCACCCACCCCCCGTCTTTCTCCTAACCTCTCCTTCATTCTTTATCCTTTTGTGTCTCTCGCTCTGGCTTTCTTCTCTGTGGCATACGCTTATGTTGATGTAACAAGTTATTGCCATCTGTGCGACCTTTGCTCCATGACAGCACCATGCAAACTGATTGTTTACCGAGAGATACTGTGGTCCATCACAAATGTCAGATCATTTGTTTTCCTCATATGCAGCTTGTATACAATATCACATGGCAATGTAAATGAGCTGCATTACACAGACGCTTCCATGATGAGCAGATAACTATCAGCGTCTGACCAGGCACTGTGTGGTTAAATAATATTAAATACTCCCTGGATAAGCAATAGAAAATTGATGGGCAGACCCACTGTCATAAAGTACAGTACTGTACACAAGTCATGAGTCACTACTCACATCTTAGCATTTTGCTAGTAAAATGCGAAGCTGGTGCAACAATTTATTGAGACACGCAAATATACAAATATTGATATAAGGCAAAAACACAGTTCATTCTAACAAGCTTGATAGTCAACATTTGCTATGACCCTCTTTTACACATTTCTTTAAGTCGTGTTCAGAAATAGTTCTGCAGACCTGAAGGACATTCAAAGCTCTTCTTTGGACCTCGACTGCCTTTTTGTTTTGTCCCGTGTCAAGATGATTTCACACTGCTTCAATAATCTTGGAGTCCATGAGGCCAGTCTATGACTGACACTCATCCACTGTGTGTTCTTCTGTCCACTGGCCATTGGCAGTGTGTTTGGGATCATTGTTGAGCTAAAAGAAAACGTTGCCAATCATACACTTTCCAGATGGTATTTCAGGGTGAATCATTATCTGATGGTAATTTTCTGTGTTCATAATTCCATCAATTTTGAAACAATCCCCAGAGCCTCCACTGTGGTTTACTAATGGTTGACAGTCACTGTTGTATCTCTCTCCTGACCCATTCTAAGCATACTGTTGTAATTTGAACCAGAAATTTCAAATTTGGATTCATCACTCTGTAAGAGCTGATTCCTTCCAGTTCTTGTGTCATTTGGCACACCTCAGCCTTTTCCTATAAATGGCTTCTTCAGGGCCAAACTTCCACTGAGGCCATTTCTGATGAGTCTTTGGCGACAGTAGATGGATTAACCCAAGTACCAAATGTGTCTCTCAGATCCTATTTCTTAAGGACGTAACTTCCAGATACTGTTCATCTGCTGTAGGTAGCTTTTCTTAGAAAGTTTTTCCATCAAATCTTTACAGAAACAGAGATCTCTATGCTAAGATATGCCAGCAAGTCTTTATGAATCACATCGTTGCTGCAAAAATACTATTTTGCCAGTCAAACTGTGGTATCTTTGTTATTTTCTATAGATTCAATTAAAGAAATACGAAGAAATTATGTGGAGTGATTTTTGTTGTTGTTTTTTTTTTTTTGCCTAATGACACAATTTTAAAATTGTTTTTTGCTAAGTTCTTGTGTGTAGTGACAACACTGTTTCCCTAGGTTAGGCAACCTTTTTTATGCTTGAATGATTCATAGGTCAGTGTTAAGTGGCTTAACAAACAGCCATGAAAGAGCTGGACTGAAAAACCATGAAAATCTGCCAATGTTCAAATAAAAGCTTTGAAAGATCTCCAGAAAGCCCAGAGGACTATTGCTAAAGACCACGGAGGTGCTCAAGACGTTTGCTCAAGACGTTAGCACATTAATATAAATTTTTTAGATAAAAAGTGTCACCCAGCCACCCACCCTCCCACCCCAAGTGAATTAAATACAAATAAATAAATAAAAACACATGCAGTGGATGTATCATTTTGTTCCTCCATATTTAATATGATTTGACCAGAAAGCAAATTTGTGTGGCTATAGCCAAAAAGAACAATGCCCTATACCCAAAAACGTTACTTAAAGAATTGTGCTTAGTGTGGTCCACATCTAAGAAGTGTCTAAGCTTTCTTCATGATGTTGATTCTTCATGGCTTTAGTTTGAATCTTCCTCTGATCCTTCAATGTCCTGAAATGTCACAAGACAAAGACAGTTATTTCAGACCCGGTAATGCTATAAAATAGAAATTCTATTAAGTTGTTTTGTAATTATTATTATTTCCTCCTGAGACTCAGATGAAAAACAAATGTTTTGATTATTCTGTTTCAAGGAAACACATTTTAAACTTGTTATTTATTTATTTTTCAT